ACAATTTCCAGCTGCTTTTAATCCTTTGATTGAATAAAAAACTTTTTAACAACCTGTTCCTTAAAATTTTCGTGGCCTTCCATTCCGAATGCTGTGTATACAATAAGACCAAAACGATGAAGCCAAAATGTGTAGAATCAGATATCTGCGGCAAAATATAAGCCCTGTAAATACAAAGTTAGCGTTAACAACAGAACTTTGTCACAAAATATTTTACACGGGAAAAAATTCAAATGCTTCATAGAACTGTTGAAATTCTGGAAGAACGATGACGCAGTGAATACGTCGCTATTATCAAGCTCTACACCGCATAATCAGTGTTCACTAAGGCAAAAATTTTTTATAATAAAACGGTTTTGAAACGAGCTGTTAAAAATAGAAAAAAAAATTGTCACTGCTTTTTTGCCATGTAACGTTTACAAAAAACAATATCAGTGAAGTGTATAGAACATCATAATCTGTACTGATGTATAGATATACATTTTTTAATTAACTCATTTATATCCAAAATTTCACATATAAAGTCAATCAACCTTTTTAGACAATTTCTTGGCTTCTCCGCACACATTTTTCGTTTCACTACAAGTATCACAGATCAAAAATGCACTGTGAAATTATCTGTTTAAAATGTAAAAAAGAAAAAAAAAGGAAAGAAAAAAAAAGGAAAAAAACCGCTGTTTTGTGGCTTTTCTTTTTCTTTGCAAAGGTCAATCTTTTTAAGCCATGCAAATTCAACGTTTTAACAAGCGAAAAACTGGCTTCAGCAGGCAGATTTAACGCGCAGTTAAACTGAGCATACCAAAACAGCAGCTGTAACAGAATCTAACCACACTGATGTCGTACAGATGAAAATTTCAAAAATGGACTCTGTTGAATATGTATGGAATACAAACAAAAATTTGACAGTTTTTACCAAACTGAAACTAATCCCTGCAGTAGTTCAGCATATTTGCAACAAAAAAAAATTTTCGTGCTATTTATGAAACTTCCGTTTGCAGCCATTTATCATCGATTATCCTCTTGTTTTGACATCTTCTAATCCAGCTTACAGTTCCATCTCTATTTGCATCCCGGTCAACCAACAGCAGCAGAACCTGCAGTGTCAGCGTTCTAGAATCACAGGCAAACAGAAACAGACTTGAAGCAGGGTAAGTAACACTGCAATAGTTTGTTGGCGAATTAACTTGGAAAACATCCATAATGTTGTTATTTTTACTTTCATTATGGAATTCTAGAGTTTTTTTTCTTTCAAATATTTATTTCTTGGCGGAAAAGGGATAAAACTGATGACGGTAAACAGAGTGAAACATTTTCCAAAGCAATAAAAACTTTCTACTGCTATATCTGTTTATAGTTCCATTATTGAAATTTTATTTCCTATCTGTTTTATCCTTTCGTTTCTGTTTTGTTTCTGTCTCTGTCGTTTGATAATTATTTTGCTGTTAATAGAAAATATATCATGTAGTAAAATAAAATATATGATATAGATTTAAATGTCAACTGACACAATACAGTTCTTTTTTTTTACCTTTTTTTATTTTTGTAGTAATATATAAAATTGCAAAAATTTGTATACAAATTTTTTTCCAGGTTTATTTTAAATGATAGCATGGATTCAACTGAATTGGTTTTATACCTAATCTTATTGTTATTTGGAATCTGTTATTCGGGACAACATGGTCATGTTGATATTGAGAACAATGAATTTGCAGAATTTGAAGATGTCGATGAAGGCGTTGTTGAAGATGATCTTGAGGAATTAGTTGGTACTTCAACAACACCAAAGGCAACTAGATCTTCTACAGTAAGAGTTCTAATAAACTGCATTGAGCGCTATTTAGTTTTGATAGTGATATTCGTTAAATTTATTTCCTCCATATAATGCATTCAATATTTATTTTTTGTTGTTTTGCTCAAGGTCCTAGAAGACGATGATGATGAATTTATCCAAGATGATGATGAGTTTGAAAGGATTGAAAAGACTACTCACAGTTCAAAAGAAACTAAAACACGACAACCATTGAAGTTTGCTGATGTTTGTTTTACCTTTTATTTTATTTTTCACTTTTTTCATTTCTGGTATTGAGCTGCCTGTAATGACGCTGACTTAATTTTTCGAGCGATTAGCCTATTACAGACAGAGTTTACCTTTACTGTATAATGACTGTTGTTTAAATCAGAGAATGTCTTGTTTTATGGTTTTTAAACAACTAGTATTTACAAAGACTCTGCAGCTTGTAGGTTCCCGCTCATTTCCGTTCAAATTGGTCGTCGTATCAAGTGGAAGCTCTTTTCTTGTTGTTAGTTGGACTTTATATGATTAATTATGTGGCTGGGCGTAGGCGCAATCAAAGTATAGCGTATAGTTGGTTTGCTGATGTTAGTGGTATCTTACAAGAACAATTTACAATAGTTGGTGATGACGGGACCTCAGAAGTCCCTTCTGAAGGTCATCTTCTAAAGGAAACGGATTCGAGTTATTCTATTTGGTGATTCCTTGAACTTGTCTTAAAATGATCTACTCTGGACTCCTAGTAAATCTGCTTTTATATAAAAGTAGTGTTTTTCAGTGTTGATTATAATCATTACCATAACTTTTATTTATACTACGCGCAATTGAGTACCCATTATTTTTTTATTTTTTTAGATTAGTTAATTATAGGTGTTCTGGCCGACTTGGATGCCAGAGCATGTTGATTCAGATGAAGTTAAAGAAGAGGCAGGACCTTATTAGCATTTTTATGGGAGTTATTCGGCCGACATCAGACAAGGTTTATTAACACTTATATTAATTTATTCACATTTATTATTTATTCAGCCGTCTTGTACGTTCTTCCCGAGATCTGCCATTTAGGTAATAATCCGAATTGATCTAGACCACAATGAGATGGACTCCTACGTTTTTGCGTTTGGACAGCGCAAAGCCGTCACAAAAGCTGTGAAGGAAATGCTTGACTTGGTTTGTCTCCTAATTGAATTTTTTTGTAAGGTGCTTCAACGCTTGGACGGCTATAAATTCATACACGCTACGTCTCCTTTCTACTCTCTGATCATATAACCATTTCCAGAGCTTGTTTACCGTTGAACGGAGAGGACAAGATCGTTTCGTACTGCCATCTTCTATGGCACTGTACGCTGAGCTTCCTGAAGCCGCTGCAACAATCATAGACCCTACTGTTCAACAAGTCTTATCCAAATATGGGACTTCGTTAGATTACTGCCATATATCAGATCAGTACTCAGGATTGAAACCCGCTGAGTGAGTACCACATCTTACTGCGTTATAAGAAAGTTATATAAAGATTGATTAGTCGTCTTCTTTGTTCCAACCTACACCTTATAGAACAAAAAATTTTCAAAAGCAATAATTTTTGTTCTTCCAACGTTCGGCTTCGCAACGGTGCCTAATGCTGCATTTTTTAACAGGGGAGAGACGTACACGCGTATGCCTGATACCATAAGAGCTATAATATTCGTTCTGAATATGAGTGAAGATAAGAATGAAACGAAGACTTTGATGAAAACTATTTTCCACTGCCTTGAGAAAGTTCGTAAGTACCGGTTGTCAAGAGAGGGAAAAGCTAAGGTAATGATTTCAAAATTTTACTGTCTGAACAAGTAAACCGCACACCCATTGCTGACCGTTAAGGCAGACAAGAAACGTCAGAACGTTCATGAAGTGTTCATGAAAACTACCCATCAAGCAAGGCAAGAAGCCGCTCAAGCGAGAAAAGAAGAGAAAACTAGGGAAAGGAAGCAGCGGCTTCTTGAAGAAGAAGACCCGGAGAAACAAAGAAAACTGGAGGTATCGATTCATACTTTCCTTTAATCTTAGTAACACTCTTCCGAAGGGTTACCTCTTTTCACAGTTAAGAAACGTTAAAATTTTAGAAAGCAGAACTAAAGCGAGAGTCAAGACTTCGTCAGCCAAAAATGAAACAACTTAAGATGAAATAAGATTTTAGAGAATTTGAAGAACTCCAACACGTTATTCATCTAAGTGTGACTGGTAGTTGTCTTTCATTGTTTTAGTATCTTCTTTTCTTGTTTTGTTATATTTGATTATTTAATACTTTCAAATTGAAAACGTTTACCGGTAGTCCTGGAGAATTTTATGTGAATAATGAGACGTTCAATAAGCTACAGATCTAGTAAAATTTGTTTTCGTCAAAAGCTATGGCATCTCATCTAGAAAACAGAATGAGTCAGTTAGGTATTCCTCCTCATTGAAATTAATTCTCGGTCCAGATATTCCCACCTATAATTATTACTTGACTTCATTACTGCATACCACTCTAGGTTAATGCACACTTGGTATAAGTTTTTATTTTGCTTGTTATTGTTTTTGAAAATAAATTATTGAAATTTTTTCTGTTGGACGGTCGCAAAAGACAACTCCTATACCTTCAAGAGTATTTCTGGGCGGTTAGAGAGACAGTCTGCAACCATTATTTGAAATATGTTCTTATTAAGTAGTGAATCCCACAGTAAAACCGTACTTTTTCAACGCCGGAATAATGTCACATCTTTGGAGTTGTACAGCCGCACTCTTTTTAAGTCGGATCAATTCCTTAAAGTTACACCGAGGGGTGCTAATTTCAGCTAATTCTGACGTAGACACCCTGAACAAAAATGCGGTCAACCGACAGCCGTTTCTGATGGTTGATAGTTTTACGAAAAAGGCACTCGCTTTTTTCTATTCTGAAGCCAGCGTTCACAAATAAATTATCAAGCTCCTCTGGAAAGAAAAGGTAATTAGTTGAGCAAGTTCAAATGAACGAAGAAGAATAGCGCACTAGGAGCGAACTAGAAAAAACCTTTGTCAAAGTAGAAGGCTCTGGTACCGTCTTGTCGGGCATAAAATCTATCCCCAAGTTTCGAACCTCGTCCAAACCGCAACATAGCATGATCATTAAATCCGTAATCCCGCACAATTACTGTACCTCCAAGCCGCACAAACTTTTTCAGATTTTGAACCGCTCGTTCATGGTTATTAGGGCTTATAGAACTTAGCACAAAAACTAGCGTCGTAATGTCGGCTTCGGGCCAGTGGAGCGGTTTAATGGTTTCAAAAGCCGTTAAATCACATAGGATAACTTCAACAGAAAACCCAAGTCTTTTGGCTCGTTCCCCCATCAGAGCAATTGCTCTGGGGGAGAAATCAAACGCGTAAAATTTAAACCACCTAAACTCATTGCATACAGGGAATAACATGTTGCCAACGCCACAACCTGCCTCCAAATATACCAACGGTTCCTAGAAATAATATTAAAGTGTTATCCAGAAGAAATAAAGAAGAACGTTTGGCTCAGATTACAAATTTAATAAGAAATTATTGGTACTTA